CTACACGCAGCTTGTGTCCATACACGATGAAATCGTGATTGCCACTCCTACACAAATTGAACGTGCATGCGTGACCAGTCTGTGTTATCCTTGCCTCTCAGCGAAAGACCATGAAATTTCTCCAGATGAATAGGAGGTGTAGGAATGTGTTGGACCATCCCAAATTGTTGCATGACATGATCTACGTAATGATACTCAACAATGTGGGTAGTAACTCCAAGTATGGTTGTCATACAAACTGCAAAACAACATAAAAAAAATAAGTAGTTAGCATTTATCATTTATAATTACAATTTTTATTTCTGTAAATCTTCCATAAAATCTTATAAATTAAGACTTACATCCTCTCTTTTCAAAAGGTCAAAATACTTTGTATACTTCACAATTTTATCTTTTCTTTCCTCTCTAGGTTTATGCAAGGCATTATTCCACCTGTTATTAAAAAAAATAAACCATTAATACTTCAATATACAAATTAATTATAAATATTTTTATTCTTAAATCGATCACATTAATATACTTACTAACCTTGCTCCTAGAGGAACATGGAATGTAGATAAAGGTGGATGAGGTGGTGCAAGAACAGGTAACCGATACCATGTCCATAACTGCACTAGAATAGCTGAACCACCAATTTTATTGTAATCATAATTAGTTCACACGCACAACTCGCTGTACATATTTGATAGCACGCATGAGCCCCAACTCATATGACCAAAAGCATCAAAGTCTTCTAGCAAACTCAGGTATCTGAGGGATACAAAGGAGCTAGAGTGATAAGTTAATAGATATCTCCCGATCATGCATAAAATGAACGCTCTAGTATGGTGTTCCAACTGTTCCTGGCTATGTATATGCTCAGATACATCAGAGAAGTGTCGGTCAATCCAACTCATCCTCAATCGACCGCCAACAAGCACTAACTCAGGGGGTGTCATGCTAAGAAGGCGTTGTACAAGACCTACCCAATCCATAGTTGCGTATCCAGTAATGGGTGCCCCAAAGATCTTCAACCCAAGTAACATTGCAACATCCTCCAACGTGATAGTACACTCGCCAAAGGGCATGTGAAACGTGTGGATCTCTAGTCTCCATCGTTCAACTAAGGCAGAAATTAAATGATTGTCCACAAGAAAGTAACTGATCTGGGCCACCCCCATAAACCCAGCCCTCTATAGAAGATCCTGAATAGCATTTGGAATTTCAACCTCACGCAACTCTGATTGTGTTGCTCTCCTAACCTTCAAAACCCTATCTTCAGCTCCATTCCATATATGCTCAGATATATGGAATGGTTGAAGCCTTAATAAGGAATCGTCGATAGGTCCTGCATGAACAATCTGTGTAGACATCCTAATACAATTAAACAAAAAAACAAACATAGTATTAAAGTCAAAGAACACATTACTTATATATTTTCTAAATTCCTAATTTGGTCCCTCATAATAATTAAAAATTTTAATTTGGTCCCATACATATGTCGTCCTCCTCCTCCTTCTCTTTCTTTAATGCATTTGGAACGGTATGTTCTAAAACCAGAACGACCCATTTTGATTGCACTCATCGTGTGTTAATTTTGCATCTAGAACGGCCCGTTCTGGTTTCAGAACGAGTCATTCTAGAACGCCAACAAGATACGTATGAGACCACTACTAATTTTATTTTAAATTATAATTTATTACAATATTATATTTTATCTTTCAATCATAATATAATATATTTTAAAAATTAAATTATAAATACAATAAACCAAATATAATACTTGCACTCGGAATCGGAGTTATAGCTGGGTCACCGGGGAAGGAGAAACCATCGACAACGGGGAAGTGAGAGCGAAGATGGTTTACATATGGCGCAAGGGTATGCTGCGTTTTTTGAAAACGCCCCAACCCCCTGCGCATTTTAGCCAGCCCACCTGCCACCTGCACACTTGACAAAACAGACACTTGAAGGCACCGAGGGGGGTGCGCCATCTGGATTACATTAAAAACGCCTGACCCCTGCGCCTTCTCTACCAACATGGCCCAACGTAGCAAAAATAACCTATTTTGGTTATTAATTTTTTATTATATTTATTTCATATTCTTTTTATTTGGGTTAAAAAGCTGAAACAATCTTCGAATTTAAAATTTTGACACTTCTCAATAATTATATCATAGGGTAGTTCGGCTTAAACGAAAAGGTAGGATAAATGAGGGAAAGAAAGAAAAAAAACTAAAATATGTGAACCATTGATTTAAAAATAAAAGGATCAAACGTTGGAGAATATGGTTTCCTTAGTGAAAGACCTGAGAAATCTCCCACCGTAGAATTCGTTATCCCTTATATCAATACTCAACACTCTGTCTCACCCTTTCTAAATGGTCATAAACATCTTTTTTTCTTCATTCCTGGAGTATAGTAGTGACTAATCTCCTCGTTATAAGGGAGACACTTTAAAGGGTGGAATAGTTGGCCCCAAGATTTAACGCGGTTACATACACAAGGCAGGATTCGAACCCCTAACCTTGCTTAAAGGTGAATCAACCCTTACCGCTGAACCACACATTTGGAGTTAGTCATAAACATACATATTAACACCATTTGGAGCAAAAACATCACTTTAATTTTTTTGTCCTACAATTCATTCAATAATAAAAATGTTAAATATATTTTAACGAATACATTACTTATACCTTGATACCATAAAAATACAAAATTTATTAAAAAATAATTAATAAAAAATATTTCACTATCACGAATTAGGTTTTTTTTTTTAATAGAAAAAAAGACATCATTGATAAAATCAATTGACACCTCATAGTAATAAATATATACTTAAAAGAATATATATATATATATATATATTGTATGCATATTCAAACAAAATTAATCTAAAATTCAAAATATTTTAGAAAAAATCCTTTCTAATTATAAAAATAAATCAATAAATAATTGGATTGATGAAATCCTAACCATGCATTAATTTAAATTTTTTTAACATAATATTGATATAAAATATTTACTATTAAAAATAATAATTAATTTCTATCAAAGACTAATCACACACAAAATAGGTATGATCCTCCGAATGTAATCTATTATCCAATGTTAAAATTCAAATCTTAGATAATTTGACATTAATTTTAATATAATCTATTCCATATCCGATATTAGAATTTCATCCTTACACAAACGCTCGTGGTTGTTTGTATGGTGAGAAATTGGCATCTGAAAACACGAAATCTTAACGCTAATAATAATATCATTTTAATATTCCTTATATATTTAGATCTCAGATGTTCTTTTGAAATATTCTATCTGAAGGGAATTCGGCATTTGCAAACCTGAAATCCCAACGTCAGTTTTATTTTTTTCATTTAAATAGTTACTTTAGTTTACATTTAATTAAATAATTATTTTCAGGAGTTAATTAATATAAAAAAAATATTTTAAAATAAATAATCTTTTTATGGCTTGAAAGGTGTTAGAATTAAGAACTTTTATTATTTAATGTTGGAGAACCTAGATGATTATTTTTAATGGAGTGTTCTTTTCTATTACATTTTTCTATTCGCAAAATTCAAATCCAATAGCATTCATAAAACTGTATAAGTACAACTTAGATCAACAAGGTAGAACTAAGAATTTAAGATAATTGTTTCATATATTAACAGTGTAAAATAATTTTAAAAAAATATATCATATTAATGTAAATATTATATAAGTATAAAATATTATGTAACTGTTTTATCATAGTGTACATCTTTTGAGATGAACATTTTCCCTATAGTCTGTCTCAATGTCTCGTTACAAAATGAATGTAACCTGAAAGTTAGCCACACTGCACACTAGGCTCAGCGTCATGCACCTCGTATTGTACCTCAACAGTCTAGCCCTAGTTGCCGAGATCGAATGTAATTGCCTCGACACTCACTTAAATACACTGTACAGCAAGATGGTGCACATCATTTTGATATCTATATCCACTATTCAGCTTTTATTGGAGATGATTTTATTAACAGTTTGTCTGATTTATAAAACGTTTGAACCCCCACATTGGATAATGCTCATTTGCAAAATCTGTATTAATTTGAAGTTCCACTACTTTTTCACCATATTCTCACATGTTCTTCAACATTATATATGATGATACAAAACGAGAATGTGTAGCAAGATCAACTCTCAAATTATTTTTTCTCTCTACATTTTTTCAATAGGCTACCCTTACAAATTATACTTAATTAAAAATTTATTATTAACTGTTTTCTTTTATTTTTTTAAATTACAAGGAGACACGGAGTATTTTTTACACTAATAATAGTAAGACCATAATCAGAGTATTGCCCGCTGGAGGATTTCAAATGACTGTCATGGCCATTCGCCAATCTCGATGAACTGAAAGGTTAGGGTTCAACACAATTAGCATTAGACAAGTACAATTTACAGCAGCATAAAATAGGAAGCGTATAGAAACCGATTACACACGGTATTAGGGCAGAGCAATTCTCAATTCTTAAACCATGTTTCCAATTCACCCCAGATGGCAGCACGTAAGACCCTACCATTTCCAGGGGGTGAATGAAAACACAGGAAACTCTAGAACAATAATCACTCTACAACCTAAAGGCTAAAACTGATGAGAACGGAAAAAACTAAAGTCAAGAGATACTATGCAAGTTTACAAACATCAAACATCCTAGACCTAGCCCTAAACCTAAGTAAGCTGACCCATTTGAAACCTAAACCCCAAAAGGAGCATGGAGAAAAACGAGGATATAGGGTTAGATTACACTAGAATATATAACATGTGACCAGCAGCTGAAGCTAGGGTAGGAATGGGACGTAGCTTAATCCGAAACACACTGATCTGGACTAAGAAAACTACACCCTTTCAAAGTCCAAGACCCTCAAGAAGTGCTCCAACGAACCTAGTAAAAAAGTAGGAAAAGGCAAGGATTGGAAAGAGGAAGGACGTTTCATTGGTTTTGATAAAAAGCACAGGTTCCTATGGTTCTTCTTGGCAGACCCCATACATGATTTCCCACATAGCTTCCGTTGATTCGGCCATTCAAGCCGTCACGGCCATCTGAGAATACCACAGGCAGAAAATCTCGGCTCTCGCACCGGAAAACTTTTGCCTGAAAAATCCTCATCAGAGTATCTTTGCCCTGCACAACTCAAGTGAACTCACATCATTATCATTCAGAAAAGAAGGATAATGCATTATAAAAAGAATACTAACAGGTTTTTTATTATTTATTAGTATAAAATAATATAACATACTCGACGATCAAAGTTATATTTTATTATGAGGGGATAATATTACATTCAAATATATCTTATCATTGACTAAATTCATCACATTTTCTATACTTTGAAAAACACACTTGCCTTCTCCCAGTATCCATGTATATCATTTGATGAAACAAAATAAAAGGAGTTTGCGTTAGTTGATTAAACAAATAAGGAAAGTTTGCATCAGTTGATTAAACAAATAAAAGAGGTGATCTTTATTTAAGAATTAGAAGAGGTGCAAGTATAAGGAGAGTGTGTATGTATCAGTTGATTAAGAAATACGACTATACGAGTGTTATTTGAGTAAACATTGAGAGATGAGTATAATTTCACATCAATATTATTGATTAAAAGTTATTGAGACGAAATTATACATCTTCACTCTTTATCCTACTACTCAAGTGGGTTCTAACAGTGTCTAACATTAACCTTAACTAATGAAACTTGTTATTTAAATAGGATCAAACTGAAATAGAGTTACCATTACTTAATAAAAATCAGAAAAAAGCCAAGCAATAAACCCCATTCTGAAGAAACGTGCTAGGATAGAAAGATGTCATTGACGTGAAATGACAACAAAACCTGAAACTGCGCCACGTTGATTTCACATATCTTCCTGTTATTGGCGACATCCCACTCGAAACCTTGGAACTCGCGGTAGAACTTGAACGCAGCTGCAGGAGTGGTGAAGTTGACAAAGGCGTATCCCAAATTCGACATCCTTTTCTCTATCGCGTGTTTCCTGAAAACACAAAACATTAACCACATGAAACGAAACAAACACACCAGCTGGTTCCCGTACCCTACCTGTAATCCATCGGCAAATACACGAAATCAAATTTCGACCAATCCTCAGGCTCATTAGTTCTCTTGTTCTGCCGCAAGCAATGCTCGTCCAGTATGAGTAGCAAGTCATTGAACCTAACAAATTTTAAGACACAAACCCCGTTCTAAAGTGCAATCTCATGATATATACCGGTAACCCTAGAGACACTTTCTCAAACACAATTTAGCTAATATGCTTTATTTTTAGAATGTTTGTATGCTTTTAATAAATTTTTCTTAAATAACTCTAAAAACACTATTAGTTAGTACACAAGCAGATGCTTATTCGTTAAAATCTACAAATTTTGATGGTCTTACTACTCTTTTATTACTACTAAATAAGAGGATAAACTTTAAATGATATACTACAACGAAATTTGTGATTTATAATAAATATATTACTTAGAAAGGGTTTCCCAACATTCCCCTTCATGCTGCACACACACTAATGCCAAAATACACCATATTCTCTTTATAAAATGAAGAAGTGGAAGAGAGAGGTTACTTAAGCTGGTTTGGGATGTTACGAATCATGACAGTGGTGGTGAAAGAGGCCTCAGCTTCTTCAACCGTGTTTGGAAACGGAATAACGTCTCGACGAGAAGCCCTACCGTTTCCTAGAAGCTTCCTTCCTATAACCCTCCGTTGAGCCTTGTAAAACTTGCGGTGGCACCGCCAGTGTCCCTTTGCCCACACTTTCTCTCCAACACCACCCGTTTTCACGTCCTCCTCGTGAGTAGGGCATTGAACGGGAGAGAAAAACTCGAAGGCACAAGGAAGGGCATAACAATAGGTGGGACGAGGAAGAAAGAAGAGTTGTTCAGGCTTAAAGTAGAAGGGTTCAGCGTTAGGGTTAAGAGGGTGAAGCATATTTGAAGTAAGATGGAGAAAATGAGTTGCGGAGAGAATTAGAAGTTGGTAACGGCAACATGATTTTATAGGAACGAAAGCGAGAGAGAGAGAGAGAGTGTTTAGGTTATGGGGGATATGGGTTGGGATTTGGAAATATTTAGAGTAATGATGAAAGTGTCATGACGCATAAACTTTTATAGTGTCGCATTGAATGCTGATACTGTAACAAGACCAACCCAACTCTTCTTCCTCTGCCATTGCCTGCGCTCTGCCGCTAGATGCTGACACTTTCTACTCTCCCCACTCTCTGTTCCTTACTAACCTTTTTTCGGCCATTGGATTCGGAACCCATAAATAGCGATAATCAGATTACTAAATATTTAACATTAACTATAATTAATTAATTAAAAATATTTATAAAAATTAATATCTTTTTTATCATCAGAAAATAAATAAACAAGAAACTATAATTACAATCTTAAAGTGGATATACCGAGTAAGGTCACAAATACATTTGTCATCATAGGTAATATCTCGACTTTAATAAAAAAAATACCTATTAAATATAGAATTAAATAATATTTAATTTATTAAATTAGAGAATATATATTTATTTTTCTTATATTATTTTTATTTATTTTTTTTATAAATTTTTAGAAATTTAACTTATTTTTTTAAAAATTTTATTTAAGATTTATATTTTTTTTCTTTTAAATTTATGTAAAATAAAATTTATTTAATATAATTTTATATTTGTTAAAATTTTAATTTTTATATTTTTATTAAAAAAATATTTGATCAATTTATTAGTTAGTATGAGACAAGTATAAATATATTTAACAGGATAAAAATGAAACATAAATTTCACATCAGTGGTGAATATATGACGTTAAAATAAATATAAGATAGGAACTCAAAAACTATAATAAGGATACTCAAATGTGAACTGACGTACTAGGGTTGAACATAAAATTGACAAATTAAACTCAAAAAATCTGATAAAAAATATTATTTTTTGGGTGGGTTTGAGTTGGTTTTATGAGTAAATTAGGTTAAAATTTTGATTTTATATAGGTTATATTAGGCGGGTTTGATTTTTAATTTTTAAACCCGCTAAAAATCAAACTCAACCGAAAATAAGATATGTTTAGATTTTTATTACTTTTGTATAACTAAATAGCAATGGTCCAAACTCAAAAAGTATAAAATAGTTATCAATTTATAACTTTTTTTTCTTCTCATAATCTAGATATTTCTTTTTTCTTTTCTTTTCTCATTTAACTTCTCAACACACTAGTCCATTTTTAGAGTTTTCTTTTGTTTCTTTCTTTGTCTTTCTTTTCCATCTTCTTATCTCTATTTTAAGTACAACTTATGCGGCTGTGATTTCTTATAGGTTTTGTAACTTAACTTTAGATTTTTTTTTGCATGTAACAACTATGAATTTTGTTATCTTTTGTTTTTATTTCTTTAGTTTGTGAATGTTTCATCTATGAATCTACTTACACTATCTATTATCACATTTATTCTATTTTTGTACACTATTTAAAATTTTTTTTTACCATTTTAAGCTACAACTTCATTAAGATAACTTAATCTACAAAAAACTTTTAACCCAATTGTACTCACTCGCACTCAAATCCGAATTCGTTTTAACTCGAACCGTTTCAAACCGAAAGCTCAATCAGTCGAGTATAGATTACATTTTTCCAAAATCAATTTATAATAGATTAAACATTTTTCACCTGAATCTGACCAAACCCACCCATTACCTACCCCTACGACCCACCTAGGAATAATCGTAGCATATGATGAGGACAAGAGTCCCATTTCATGAAAGATGATAAAGGTGAAGAACCCTTTACCGCTAGAAAATCTGCACTTATACCACCTTCTTAAATCCGGCATTTGTAACAAGGGAAGCCCCTTTAAGATCGCTTTAACTTCTATTGGGCTTTGTTTGGGGAGGGAAGGAATAAAATTATAAAAGAGAAATAGAAGAATAGGTAAAATTTATTGGATAAGAAATAGACTTTATAATTTATGATCAACCAAAATTTATCAAAATAATGAATGTCAAACACGTCATCCTTATTTTCTCTTTCTCTAAATTTGTAAATAAAAAAAATACTAAACATAAAAAATTGTAAGACAATTTTAAAATCAACAAAGATAGTAAAAAAATCATAATCTTTAATAAAAAAAATAATAATCTTCTTATTAAACATAAAATTGTTTACTTATCTTTCTCCCATATCATAAAAAAAATAAATATAATTAATTAAGATAGACAAAATTTATCGGTAACAAAACTAATAGAGAAAGACATAAAACAACATAGGAATCAAATATAAAATTTATATTTAAAATAAAATAAAACTCAAAACATATATGTAAAAGCAAACTTCACATAACATATGAAAGATAACTTCTAAAAATATAAATGTTTAATAACAAAATAATATTGAAAATAAAATTTAAGTTCATACACTACAAGGAAATTGTCATATAATGACACATATCCTATAGTGACACAATATGTGTCACTAAAAACTACTTTTAACTACAAAATAAATATAATATATGTTAGTATATTGTTAAAAAATGTGGGTATAAGCTATAGTGACACACAAAATATGTTATTAAATCTCATTCAAAATCAACACTAAAATTGTGTGTAACTATATGCCAAATAGATATATTATTATACTTATAGTGAAATTTTTTTTATGTCACTATATGTAACATTTATTGTAGTGATATTATAAAACACACAAATAAACCAATACAAAGAAAGACGATTTTATCGATTATAATTGAGGAATAAGAAAACTAACTCATACCACCTAATTTTGAGTTTTGAAAAAATAAAAATGAAAATACTTTTAAAATAACAAAATTGAAATGAGAAGACAAAAAATACCAAAGAAGAAAATGACAAATGACAAATAAAAAAAATTAAGTTACACAACATTTGTTAACATGAACTTAACTTTATAATTTTAAGCAAACAAAAGAGATATAGAAAAATTATACACAAGATATAGTGTTTATGATTTAAGAAGAGAAAGTGAAATTGAAAAATGAGAAAATATTTTTAACATAAATAAAAAATAAAATATAAGTCAATATTTATCTAAACAATAGGTGTCAATATCCTCATCCCACACCGTGTCATCTTTACTTGTTCTTCTCTAAAATCATAACAAACTAAACATAATAAATTATGAAAGAAAAAGTTTAACATCAATAAAGTGAAAAATCAAAGTGTCCTTGTTAAACATGGTATTCTTTACTCATCTTTCCCCCAAAACCATAAAAGAATAGGCGGATAAAAATGTAAAAAAAAATAGGTTTACCTATCCCAGCTCATCATCTTTACTTTCTCTTCCCCAAAAATTGTAAAAAAAAAATAAAAATAAATAAACATGATAAATAATGTAAAACAACTTTTAACATCAATAAAATAGTAAAGAGTTAGTCTCCTTATTAAACATGAAATCGTTTACTCATCTTTTTCCAAAATCATAAAAGAATAAACAATTAATTGAGATAAACAAAATTTAGTAGTAATAAAAGTAATAGAGTAACAAAATGGTTTAAAATCTAACATTAACAAAACTAGAAAAGAGTATGATATAAAACATGTAACGACCCGGCTGGTCACTACACACAGCACAACACACCAGAATACTACACAGAAACGAATAAGTATATACATATAGGATCTAAAATATATATATATACAAGGTCCAAATCCGTCTAGAATTCAGAGTGTACAAAATACATCCAGCAAATGCTAACTAAGTAGCTAAATACATCAAAAGAATAAAACTCCATCTACCAGCTGCAGACCCTCCTCAGCAAACACAAACATAACCCTGCCCTGCTCGTATACATAGTATGATCATCACAGTCCAAAGCACATGGAAACAACAAAGGATAAGTTAGTGAAAAGAAACAACATACATATATAAATATATGAATAGTAAACAACTACAGCTATCAGCACATCAATCAACTTAACAAAATCAGCTTAAAATACCACAACATTCAGCAATAACAGCACCGACTTAGCGGCTATAACAGCACCACATTAGTGACTATAACAACACCGACATAGCGGCTATAACAGCACACATCTCACTTCATCAGCATACAACTCATCAGCTATACAGCATAAACAACAATAAAACAAACAATGCGTCGTCACGCATATCAGCTCGGAGATCTCCTACAACAGCTCAGCCTTACGGCCTACAACAGCTCAGCCTTTCGGCCTACAACAGCTCAACCTTACGGCCTACAACAGCTCAGCCTTTCGGCCTACAACAGCTCAGCCTTACGGCCTACAACAGCTCAGCCTTACGGCCTACAACAGCTCAGCCTTACGGCCTACAACCCTTTCGGCCTACAACAGTTTATATCAGCATGCAGCACAACACAACATAGCAGCAATAACAGCATACAGCACAGCTCAACATTATACAGCACAGCTCAGCAAATCAGCATACAGCAATAGCGGCTTACAGCTCAGTTAAACAACTTACAGCACAGCAATATCAGCATCCAGCACATCTAAACAACTTACAACACAACAATATCATCATCCAGCACAACTAAACAACTTACAACACAACAATATACCTCAAATACAGCTTAACATCAATAATGAAGCATAAACATCTCACAGCACATCAAAATCATCACTCAGCTCAACAACATTCATCATTATCAACTTAAATCAACATAAACAACATTCGACACAGCTCAGCTTATCAGCAATAACAGCTCAAACAACATACAACACAACTCAACTTTTCATCATACGGCATTAACAACATTAATCAGCATGCAGCATATTCAACACATAATACGGCTTATCCATCTTGTTTATAACTCATCTATCTTGCCAAATTACCCACCCAAACAACACCAATCAACCTAAGCACCTAAAACAACTTTCAACTTAACCAAATCCCTAAATGTGAAATGGCAAACTTCACAGAAAATAGCACACCAGGAGTTATACTACTCC